CCTCCGGAGGGTCACTGTCCTGCAGAGTTTACACAGGTCAACACACCTGCCTGGAAGTTTTTAGTATGCCTAGTAAGACCTATAAAAGCTGGTATAGTTTTATAATATATAGGTATAGTGTTTAAATTGGGTTGGAGCTAAACTCTACAGGACAGTGGCCCTCCAGGAGCAGAAGTGGACACCCCTGTCCTAGATACTAGAAACAGCATCAACTCCTCTCTATAAACAATTGCGGCTGGAGTTTACCAGACTCAAGTGAAACCCCTAATAAACATTACAAAATGGACAACACATAAAATCTTCATGAACACAGTAAAATACATTGATTGAAGGCTGCTCCAGAGTCTCTCCATCATAAAGACATTTTGAAGAATGTTTCATCAGTTTTTGCCGGTATAATGAAAATCAAAACAACACTGAACTGAACCCCATTAACTTTCATTGTAAACGGAAAAAAAAAGAAAAAAAAAACTTTTGTGTTCCAAAGAAGAAAATAATGGAAAAGTGGAAAAGTCGAATGGAATGACATTGAGGGTGAGTAAAGATGATAGAATTTCAATTTTGGAATTTAACTGTGACAGTTGTGATTTCCTAGGACACCAGTAATATCCGTCAGGTAGTAAAGACAAAAAATAAATGCTTACAGCAACAGACAACAATATCTTCTATATATCGAATTATACTTTCACCAAACCAATATAAACCAGCTTTGCTGATCTGAGAGTTTCTTTACAGCAGGACATTTAGTGCAGCCAAGGAAACTGGGAAAGAAAAACACATGGCGAGAGCAGAATGGATGAACAGAAAATGCTCAAATAAGAGTGAAGGAGTGAGATGAAAACTGTGGAGGACAGAGAACAAACATAGTGAGAAAGGAGCGCTAATAAACACAGACTCTGATTGACTCAAGTGTTTTTAACGGGATGCTGCCCACGTCCGGTAGCGTCACCCAGGCTTTGTTTTCACTCCGTCAAGCCTGCTCTCCTCCGCTCCGCTTGCTGGAGTGTCTCTGCTCTGCCTCTCCACCCCAGCGCTCATATGAATGATGGGGAGCTCTGAACATGTAACTAGGTTAAAAAAATGGAGGATCAACAAAGGGACAAATTATTTTTAAGAATTTCCCCTTTTTTCCTCTCGTCTGTTCAGGAATGAAACGGGTCATGTGCATGAGAGCAGGTGTGTAAATGTGTCAACACAAAGATGTTAGCAGCATATCCTTCTCAAGTCCTATAGGTATCGAGGTGAAGCCACCATGGATCAAAGTTGTTGGTCCAGCACATCCCACAGATGCTCAATTGGATTGAGAATTTGGAGGCCAGGGCAAAACCTTCAACTCTTCGTCATGTTCCTCAAACCATTCCTGAACAATGAGTGCAGCGTGTATAGCAGGGTGCATTATTCTGCTAAAAGAGGCCACTTCCAACAGCGAACACCATTGTCATGAAGGGGTGTACCTGGTCTGCAACAGTGTTTAGGTAGGTGGCACATGTAAAATGTAGGTCCACATGAATGGCCTGACCCAGGGTTTCCCAGAAGAACATTACCCAGAGCATTACACTCTTTTGCATCCTTTTGGCATCACATCCCCAGGTAAACGGCGCACACGTACACGGCCGTCCATATGTCCATATGATGTTAAAAGAACCAGGCGACTTTCTTCCACTGCTCCATGGTCCAGTTCAGACGTTTGCATGGCCATTGTGGGTGCTTTTGACGGTGGACAGGGTCATCATAGGCCCTCTGATTGGTAGACTTGTAGTCGAGACCGCCTAAACCGAGACCAAGACACTACCAAGACCAGATGGTATCGAGACCAAGACAAGACCAAGACCAAGACCAAGACAGACCAAGTCGAGACCAAGACCAAGTCGAGACTAAGACCGAGACCAAGTCGAGACCGGAGGGGAAAAAAACATTAGTGTTGAAGCTAAGCAATAACTTGTCAAATGTTGTTTTGCATTTGCCTGCCTATCTCTGCTGATTTCGAAGTCTCCAAATGAATCCATTCTGCAACTTTTAAATACATAATTATATTTTTAAAAACGAAATTATAGGCTTAAGTGCAGGATCCGAAAGTTGGTCGTTTTTGTCGCTATGGTTACACACACACACACACACACACACCGTTGGCGGTGCGCTCAAAGTCATCTGTCAGTTGTGCAGTTACCCAAAATCTCCTGAATGAAGGTAAAACCCATCATGTCACTGATATGTGTTTTACTAAATATTAATATATCAAAAACTGTACATGATATGTGTTTTTTAAATCAAGTGATCAAAGTGCTCGTTGCCGCTGCGATCAGTGGCGCGGATACAGTGTTTTCTCGCGTGGCTCGCGCGCACCGCACTGTCTTCACTCGGACGCGCGCTTCAATACGTTGCGGATATCATCGTGGATATTGTAGTATTGTATTGCTCAATCCCCTGACCACTATGTCGGTCTGAGACAGCGAGACCTAGACAAGACCGAGAGGTCCGAGACCAAGACAAGACCGAGACCAAAGACCGTCAAGGCCGTGACAAGACCGAGACCACGTAAAAGTGGTCTCGAGACCGGTCTCGAGACCAAGACCGGTCTCGAGACATACATCACTACTGATTGGTCTGTAGCTTTGCAGCAGAGTGTGATGCACTGTGTTGTGACATATTCCTCCCATAACCATCATCATAATTTTGTGTGACTTGAGCAACAGTAAACCTTCTTTTGGAAAAGATGGGTTAGCCTTCGTTGCCCTCGTGCATCGATACGCCTTGGGTACCCGACACCATGTCACTGGTTTGTGGTTTGTCTCTCCTCAGACCACTGTTGATGGATTCTCACCAGTGCTGACCGGGAGCAACCCACAAGCCTTTCCATTACAATTTGGCCCTTATCAACGGCAGATCTTTATTACTGCCCATTTCTCCTGCATCCAACATGTAGATTACGAGAAATGATTGTTTGCTTGCCATCTAATCAACCCAGATCTTAATATGTGGCCTTGGTAGGAGATGATCAACAATTTGCTTCACCTTTGACTGCTCATAATGTTTTGGCTCATCAGTGTATACACTGATCAACACACACACACACACACACACACACACACACACACACACACACACATACAGCAAACATCATCATTTGGGTTTGAAACGACATGAAGGCGAGAAAATTATGACATTTGTGTGTGTGTGTGTGTGTGTAGCCTACTATCCCTTTAAATGTGCTCAGAATCAGAAACACTCTCTGCCAGAGAATCATTTTGCATAAGTTGACATGCCTTTAGAAGTTTAGAGTGAGCGGTTGTGTGGTAAAATTTACAAAATGGCAGGAAGCACCTTAAAGTATAAAAAGCATGAGTTGTAGTTCAGGAGACTGATAGCCTACTGTAAATTATGCATCCCATCAGTGCTATAATACATGACTGCAACAATCAAGGTGCCGAGGTTTAGCTTGTTTGTATGGACAGTTGCTGTTAGTTAGATGCTATTCATCTTATTCCACTGACGGCCGTTTCAAATCAGATGTGTGTTCTACTGAAATTAAAATTAACAAGAATTTAATTTTAAAAATGTATTCTCCACTTCATACTCTCTGGTAAAAGCTAATGTAGGCTACGACACGAAACATACAGTAGGCTCACCATGCTTCTGTGTATATTAATGTGAAAAACCCACACCTTAACCTAGCTTATCTATCAGGGCCTATATCTTCATGTGCAAGTATGACACTTAATTAATTTGCTTTATAAGATATTTTAATAAACAACAACAAAAAAAACCTGTTCCTAATCAAGTTTGTCCTATAGGCCTATTGGGAATATAATCAGTCTCTCGTCGTTTTTTATTACTTAAATAAAGTGTATTTTTATGGGTCTCATAGTGTATTCATACCAACCTATGTCTATGCTACTCTTTAATGTCTGTACACCTTAAAGCCTCGATATCTTACCTCTTCCTCACGAGTCTGCACAGCTTCACCTCTTCAATCTCTAACTTACAAATCACGAATCACTCAGAGACTCTTGAATCGTTAGATTCATTAAATCTCAACGACCCAATGATTGAAAGCAGAAGAGTCGGTACTTGATGTACGCAGGGCTTGAGATTTTCATTTTCAAATGCATAAATTAATACTAGAAGTTCTGGAGTTCTCTATCCCCCGTTGATTATATATATTTTTTGTTTTCCCTTAAGTGCGTCTGTTCATGTTACTTTAAGTGTTAGCCCCATCTAGTGGCTAAAAGCAAAATGTATAGTTCAATGGAAATGCAGTTACACTGCAGCGTCCCCTAGAGGCCACGGGCGGTACATGTTTAAAATAAAAACATCCAGTCTCTGCCAGTCCTGCAAGATGTTATAATTAACGAGTCATTAAACAGCAAAAGTAATAAAAGTTTAGATTTTAATAATGCTTCTTGTTATAAATACATGGTTATCTTGAACACTTAATAAATAAGTCCTAAAAAGCACCCTCTGTTTTTTTTCACTTTACAGATGTCTATAAATACAATGCATTACAACAACAGTCTTTCAAAATGTACTGGGGAAAAATCTGTTACATCTCTTGTTTTTCTGAGTGCAATAAAAGGGGTTTGATTGTGTTTGCGTGCGTTCTGGGAACAGACAGCGCTTTTCACTGAGACCTGATCCTTCTAAAATACAAATCTTTAGCTATTAAAAACAGATCCAAGATCAGCTTAAAGAAGCAGTTTTCGATAGAAAAGATTTGATGTGAGTGCAGTCCTTTTCGCCCCTGTGGTGTTTTTAATGTACATAATTAACCTTTATAATCATTTTAAATGGAAAAGACTGATAATGATCAGTTTGTATCAGACTTCATATATGGTCAGCATTATGAATCTATTCAGTGCGAGGAACTCAAAAGTATTAGGGCACAGAAAGGCTTTATATGGTCTATTAGCATTTGGTCAACAGGTTTTGAATGTCCATGTTATGTTTGTATTACTTAATAAACATAAGCTGCTCCAGAAATTGATCTGGGACCAGATCTGCCTTATTAATATAGTCATTATGAAATATGTATTTGAAAGGCCAAAATTGAATGATCTGGGACCAAAAGTCACTACATATAATAAACAGCATCTGTTCTGATCAATATCAGTGCATAGCATTTAATTGGATTTAATAAGCTGTTCTAAAGGTGTGTTATTTGGTAATTATTAAAGGGAAGGTTCACACACTCTCTGAGCGTATTATAATCTTCTTTAAGCTTTCCGTATGGCGTGTTTGCCTTTCTGAAGTTGGGAGACGTAGATTTTGGTTTTGGTGCCATCTGTGCGCTTGAACCAGACCTCTCCTGCGCTGATCCCTGTTATTACGACCCTAAGAGAAACACACAAGAAAACAGGGAGACCGTTTCAATTGAAATGTTTTTGCAAACAAAGCCAAAGCGAAGACAGATGCGGTCTTGAGTCTCATGCTCTACTGACTGTGCTGGGCTGTTGTCATTGACTTCTAGCACAACGCTGCTGCCTTTGGAGAATCTCTCTCCATCATAGAAGAGAGCCCCATCTTCACATCGCACGGACACCTGCCTGTCTGAGAGACAAACAGACACGCTCACCATCTTCAACATGTTACGCTTTAATAGCTCAGAATGCTCTAACCCTCTATCACCGCATAGGGCTGTCTAGAAACTGCTGTCATTAAATTGGTTCACAGATGTAACATGATAAAGTTTCCAAGAGAAGTGGTAAAGGCATAAATAAACAAATAAAAACTTATGGAAATAATATATGTTAGGAATATACTTAAGTGTGAACTAAATGTCATGTTTTCAGACACTTCACTGCATTTTAATTCAAATGAAATGACATTGAATTGTATGATAGATGCATTTATATCATTTATATTTTCTCGATTGCTAACACAATTCATGAAACGATTCGCCATTTTCTCACAACTATAAAGACAGTCTCAGAACTACATTCCAACTTGCACAAACCTCAAACTGTCACGTCAAAATCAAATATTTTTGTCAAAAACATATTCTCTTTCATCAGAGTCAAACTTTGGACTCAGATGACACACAGAACCTAACAAATTCACAGATTACTTTCCAGATCAATTCATAACACTGTAACAGAAACCTCTTATTGGGATTCAGGAATAATTTTGCAGCTTAATGTCTATTACAGTATTCAACATAAATGAAAGAGTGCAGATACAGTAAAATACAACAATGAGCTTAGGAAAATGACAGTAATAAAAAAACAAATACTGAAAAATGACCGCCACTTGAATCAGTTATAGTGTGTTAACAATTGAGAAAAACTGTACATGCAATTAGCTGAACTTTAAGTACATCTTTATGTCATTTCATAATTACTATGTCTGAAATATGGTTAAAGTGTGCTCCCGAATGTACTGACAAGCATTTACGGTGAACTAAAATGCCATTTCTACTGAAACTTGTTTCATGTATTTAAATATTTGTAATTACAAATTTGTAAAGATGAAGTTGTAATTCAGTACATTTACAATACATATAGTTTAAATGTTTGAACACACTACAGTTAAAATGATCAGTATAAAGCACCTTGCTTTAGTAGGTTAGTCAACATCAAAATAAGTGAATTTCTTTAAGGATGGCAAAAGATTATTGAAACAATCCTTTAAAATGTAAAACTTTTAATTCAAAGTGCACTTTTTAACAGTGTGCTTTATAATGTGTTAGGAAAGTGCCCTCTCTTTAAGTAAACTTAACTGGTCTTTTATTTAATTAATATTATATTGTCTAATATTATATTAAGTACAATTTTGAAAAAATACTTACTTACACTACAACTGCCCCAGACAGCAACATAGTGCCGGCCCAGATCCGGTACGGGTGGAATCCACATGTACCAGATGTGGCCCGGATCTGGGCCGACACTATGTTGCTGTCTGGGCCACATTCAATACAATTAAGCACACTTTTTTTTACAAAGGCAGCATTATTAACAGTGGTGTATTTGGCTGTAATTTATGCCTATTATGCCAACGAGGACAGCAAAGGAATGGAGGGATGAAAGTGAGAGCAAGTGTGAGATGTGGGGAGAATTAAAAAGAAAAAATGAGAGTGGAATCAAATGTTACACGTCATTTTTCTTCCACAAAAATAGAACAGGACTCTAAATGTGACATTAAAACCAAAGTACTTTGAGTCGATCAGTCTGGAGTGACAGAACAAAGGGAAATGGCACTATAAATCAAATGTCAGTATCTCACTTAATCAGAGGCCAGACAGATAGAGCTTGTGAGTGAGGGTCAGGGCTAATGGAAGAAACTGGGACGGCAATGGAGAACATGCTTAAAGTCCCACTCCGATCATATTTTGAGCTATTTTTAAACATTCCCAGTGGTCTTTAAATTATGATTATGCCATTTTTAGCCAAAATCACAAAACCTGTGCCGTTTTCTGGGACTTCGCTTCAGCAGAGCGGCAGTAGCTCATTAGCAATTCGCCTCTGCGTTGTGGGCGGAGCCGTTGGCACGGAGACGACCCTCCCCCTGCCCGTTGCTGAGAGCTCTGTCTCTCCCGCTAGCTTACATCCCCAATACCGGTGGGGCAACAGTATTATATACACGTTAATTATTATTATCCGAAGTTAATCAAAGTTATCACCGATCACCGATCATTATTTCACTCCAAGACGTCGCGTGTGGAGACGCCCAGTGGAGTTACTACGTCACAACTCCAGTCTATTTTAGCCGGCATTTTAGCGTCTGCTACTGATTCACAGCCATTTGAATGTAGAAATACTCAGAAATACAACTTTGAGCTTATTTTTCTCAAGATATGTCCTCTAACATCAGAAAAATGCCACAAGAACATGTTAACACCTAGAAAAACATTATTTTCACCGGAGTGGGTCTTTAAGCCTTTGACGCCATTTAAGCTAGAGAAAGACTATAGCTATGTTTCCATCCACACGTTTTTATCCGCATTAAGTGATATCGAATGAAAAATGCCTTATGGAAACAGTAAAATTCGATTGAATTTCATGAATATCGACTCAAATGAAATACGATCGGTCTCATCGAATTTTATCTTGATCGATATACGGCTTATGCGATAAACGCGGATGGAAACGTTATTATGGTGCGATCCATTTTGCCTGGTAAAACTTTGTTCGCAAATGTTGGCTTGAATGTTGTGCAATTCGATGAGAAAATGAATGGAAACACCTTAACATGTCTCAAATCAATTCGATATACCAATTTGATCGCAAAACAGCATGTGACGTCATTACGCACAGGTTTTTATCCGCTTTAAAGCCGTTTGATGGAAACACACTTTCACCAGCTTTATTCGCATGAGTTTTTTTACCAAACTTCAGATAATTCGATTGACAAGTGAATGGAAACATGGCTAGTAACACCATACATACTGTGTGTGTGAGTATCCCTGAAGGCATGTTTACTAGGAAGTCTTTTACCAGAGAAAGACCCCATTATTTGAAAACACACAGCAACACACTTTTTAAAGTACTCAAAAAAAAAAAAGAATTAAATATGATTTGAATTATACAGTCACATTTTTAGAAAGAGAAAGAGAGAGTCCAATTTTGCACTATAAAATCTATTCCGAGCCTGTCGGGAAAAAAGAAATCATTGGTTACATATATTTAGCCTAAGCCAAGGACCCTGATGGTCAGCGCATGTGATTTCCTTCAATAAATATACAATGAGTTCATTCTTGGAGGCAGTCAGTTTTGTCAAATTTTAATGAAGTTCACCTGACTACCATGAGGTCATTGACCTCCCAGTGTAGCTGCCTGAGAAAGACAGAGACCAACAGGGAAGCTTGAATGAAGTACTTAAATGAACCCAGTCCCATTTAATAATTGACTTACTGTCTGCTTTCTTTTTCAGAGGTATCAGTGCCGCTTTTGCCTGAAAGACAGAAAGATAAGTCACGATCCGTCACATAGCTTCACTGTGATTGAAGGGCTGATCACTCAACATGAATACCTTCTTGATGGCTGTCCAGTCCTCCAGTATATCAATGTCTCTTAGCATATACACTATGTATGGCCCTAAAAAAAAAACAGACAGACATGTTGAGCAAGCAGGAGAGGAAGGAAGACAACTTCTTTAAACAGAGTTTGGATAAAAGGTGTTGCCTGATGGTTAATGATCTAGCTTGGTGATTTTTGGATGACGGTACCAGGCTTCTAAACTAGCTTAGCACATTTTCAATTAGCTTCTTAAGAAAGACCATGCTGGTTGAGCAAAACTAGCATAAATCAGCTTGGACCAATATGGGAAGTCTCATGAGGTCTAGTCTCAATTTCCTTCTCAGAAAAGGTCCAAACAATAAGACATGCTGTATGAATGTTAAGGCCGTTATTTAATGAAATGAAATAAGCCATGTGTGATTCCTGTATAATCACACTTTCTGATCTGGACTACAAACTGTTAATTGGTGGCCTTTGGTGAATTGTATAAATGTACTGTAAGACCTTTTGGATAAAAGTGTCGGATAAATCGCTAATTAGTAACTGTTGGTACTGGAACAGGATTTAATCTGGAAGGCAAGTAGTGACTGAACAAGAGAAGAAGAGATGGATCTGAATCTAAAGAGAACACTTCATTACCTGACACAAGAGCCGCCTTCTTTTTCCTGTCTGGGCGAATCAGGTGACGACTTCTCTTACACTTCTTTATCTTCTCGTCATCATTCCACCATTCTGATTGATAAAGACCAAGTTTGTGTGTTTAAGGATCTGGTGAGTAATTGTATGTGTTCAAATATGCTTAAAAATGTCCCCCCAAGTAGGACAAAACCTCCTCTTGAAAAAGTGTTTCATAAATAAAGTGAATAATGTTTTTGTTATTATAAAATAAGTAATATTCTATATGTACCTATTTTTTATAAATTAAAATATACAACAATAATTTGTTTTAATTTAGGGACACTGAATAGAGATTTGCATGAACTTGAGAGACTGTGTGACCCGAACAATCGCTTCCTCTCTCAGCTCTGACATAGCAGAAAAGAGTGTTTAATGGTAACACTATAGTAGGCTTTACTGTCTCATATTTGATATGCACATTTCTAAAGTGCCTAAATTATCAACATGATCAAAACTGATCTTTTTTTTTTTTAAGAGTAAAAGTAAAAGGACTTTTAGTATCATTCTAAAAATACCCCCCTTCAGGTCCTGGCCCATGTGTGTTTTTGCTGTGAAATCTTTACTGATTTGTATAAAGCAAACGAAAAAATAACGTTTTATTGTTAGTAATATTACACATATTACAATATTACACAATATTAAAAAACACATACTGCACTGAAGCAATTTAGGTTTACTTCATTATCGATATATACTGTATATACAGTATATATAGAAATATTAGAAAAATCTGTCTTTTGCATTGCATTATGTTTTGTCCCACACAATAAAAACTGCATAGCTTTGATCATAAAACCAAGCATTTAAATATCATCTTACTTATGATAAGTATATGCATTTAATTCAAGTAGTTTGCTATACTGTTATACAGATATCATTGACTTACATTATAAGATAACAGGGGCCGTATTCACAAAACTACTAAGACTTCTCCTAAATGGCAGTAAAAGTTCTTACTGTATGTAAGAGTTTCCTCTTAAAAGCTATTCACAAAGCAGCTGAGACCAAGTTGTAGCATGTGTGATTCCTGTATATTCACACTTTCTGATCTCGACTACAAACTGTTAATTGGTGAATTGTATACATGTACTGTAAGACCTTTTGGATAAAAGTGTCAAATAAACGACTAATTAGTAACTGGAACAAGATTTAATCTGTGGTGACACAAGTGGTGACAGAGGTGGTGATGGAACAAGAGAAAAAATGTAGGAGTCCTAAAATTAGGACTGACATGCCCATTGTGTTTAAGAGTTCCTTCTACTTTTAGCCTTAAGATGTTTTGTGAATACAGCCCGAGATTTTAGTCAGGTAGCACACCTGTAGTACGGTTAGGAATTGGGATGCTACATCCCTGTTCAGATAGCCAGGTAAATGTGTGTGTGTGTGTGTGTACCTGAACTCTGTTTGTCATCCTCCAGTCTGCGGATCTTCTCCATCAGTTCTGTTTTCATGGCATCAAGCAAGAGTGTCCTCTCACTCTAGAGAAATGAGCATCTCATTACATATACACACATTGACTCGATACGATTCATGCACTGTCAACAAACAAACAAACAAGCACAACTGTTTTGGCAGAGACATGCACGTATTTATTTGCAGCAGTGTTTTTTCACTGGTGTGTTATGTGTGATACTGCATCTAGACTATGATAAATGTGGTGTGTGCATGTTTGTTTGTGTATGAATATGTGTATTGAAATGTATTATGACTACTAGGCATGTAAGTTTGTCGAATTGTGAAATGACCTGCAGCAATACCATGTAAATTATATTCTATGTGCATGATAACTTATTGTGTACTGGTACATGTTTTATATGCAAAACAGTTTTATAGCAAAATAGCTGCTATTGTGGTGGGATGTGGGTAAGGTTAGCGACAGGTTTGGTTGTATGTTTAGGTTTAAGGGTGGGTTAATGTGTAAGTGAAGGTTCAACGGTGCAATTAATAGAAATTAATTACAGCTCTAATTACAAGCAGGTATTTCTAATAAAGTACAGGGTTGCACTTTATTTTAAGGTGTCATTGTTACAGTGTAATTATATATTTAAGTACTGAGTAATAATAATTAACAACATATAGTTACTATAGGGTTATTAGGTTTTGGTTGAGGGTCAGTTGCATGTAATTATATTACTATGGTAAGTACATGTAACATATGTAACAATGACACTTTAAAAGTGTTACCAAGTACAGTGTAAAAACATGTATGTACACAAGAATTGCACTGTATCAATTGAATAATTGAAATGTTAGTACATAGCTAAACAAATTTGAATGTATGACGTGGAGGCAAAGAACCACCCGACTAGAAGCCGACACCATGGTAATTTTCCACCATTGACTGTTATTATATAAAGCTGTTATTGATGTTCCCAGCGCAATATTTGACCGGAAGGGTAAAAATTTGTTTTTCTTTGAGTTAAATTACTTCAAAACCAGCGATGTTACCCTATTGTTGATGATAAATAGAATGTAACGATTCATTAGCGAAGCTATTTTATTAATAAAAGTCGCGGGGCAGCATTGATAAGTCTCTGTGCTCCTGAATGTTTCTGTGTGTGCGCAGCACGATCTCTGTGTGCGAGTGACGTCTGTGTGTGTGTGTGTGTGTGTGTGTGTGCGTTTCAATGAAAGCAGCGCATTAATATAGAACGTGATTAAACTGACTTGGAACTACCTGTGCATTAAACAGCTTTATTGCACTCTTTCCAGCCAATCAGAATCAGACAGAACATGGTATAAAGACACTTAATATAAAGTTAGACTGCTTTTTGTAAACAATGTCTAATTATGTGGGTCTGATGAGCCGCTTTACCTCTAAATGTTGTTTTGCCCCCTGCACTTCACATTCATGTTTGTGTTTGACCACTTGCAGACATAGTTCTCTGTACACACCTACAGTAGATGGGGTGAAAGGGAGATCAGTGAATAAACAAATAACAGTTGATCCAAGACCTGCGGTTAAGATGTAAGAGAGACATCATAAGTAGAGGTCGACCAATATTGGATTTTGCCGATACCGATAACTTTTAAAATAATTAAAATGAAAAATTATTCTGAATCAAAACATAACACTCAAAGTAAAATAGTGCTGAACTTTAAGCAGTATTGACTGATGCATGAAAATGTATTGGAACTTTTAAATTAAATATATAAATATTAATATATATCAATTAACATTACATAATAATATATATTAATTAATCGCCTTTGGCTTGCTTAGTTGGGGACATTTAATATTCAACAATAATATTGATCTGCCTGCACTGACATCATTATATGAGAACTGGGATGCATTTCCCGAAAGCATAGTTAGCCAACTATGGTCGCAAGTTCTGTCGTTACCAATAGAGTTCAATGGAAATTGCGACCAACTTGCGACCATAGTTGGCTAACGATGCTTTCGGGAAACGCACCCCTGAGCAGGACGATGACATCACGGTTTTCTCCAGAGCGACTATACACTCACCGGCCACTTTATTAGGTACACCTGTCCAACTGCTCGTTAACACTTAATTTCTAAGCAGCCAATCACATGGCGGCAACTCAGTGCATTTAGGCATGTAGACATGGTCAAGACAATCTCCTGCAGTTCAAACCGAGCATCAGTATGGGGAAGAAAGGTGATTTGAGTGACTTTGAACGTGGCATGATTGTTGGTGCCAGAAGGGCTGGTCTGAGTATTTCAGAAACTGCTAATCTACTGGGATTTTCACGCACAACCATCTCTAGGGTTTACAGAGAATGGTCCGAAAAAGAAAAAACATCCAGTGAGCGGCAGTTCTGTGGGCGGAAATGCCTTGTTGATGCCAGAGGTCAGAGGAGAATGGCCAGACTGGTTCGAGCTGATAGAAGGGCAACAGTGACTGAAATAACCACTCGTTACAACCGAGGTATGCAGCAAAGCATTTGTGAAGCCACAACACGCACAACCTTGAGGCGGATGGGCTACAACAGCAGAAGACTCCACCGGGTACCACTCATCTCCACTACAAATAGAAAAAAGAGGCTACAATTTGCAAGAGCTCACCAAAATTGAACAGTTGAAGACTGGAAAAATGTTGCCTGGTCTGATGAGTCTCGATTTCTGTTGAGACATTCAGATGTTAGAGTCAGAATTTGGCGTAAACAGAATGAGAACATGGAACCATCATGCCTTGTTACCACTGTGCAGGCTGGTGGTGGTGGTGTAATGGTGTGGGGGATGTTTTCCTGGCACACTTTAGGCCCCTTAGTGCCAATTGGGCATCGTTTAAATGCCACGGCCTACCTGAGCATTGTTTCTGACCATGTCCATCCCTTTATGGCCACCATGTACCCATCCTCTGATGGCTACTTCCACCATGTCACAAAGCTCTAATCATTTCAAATTGGTTTCTTGAACATGACAATGAGTTCACTGTACTAAAATGGCCTCCACAGTCACCAGATCTCAACCCAATAGAGCATCTTTGGGATGTGGTGGAACGGGAGATTCGCATCATGGATGTGCAGCCGACAAATCTGCGGCAACTGTGTGATGCCATCATGTCAATATGGACCAAACTCCCTGAGGAATGCTTCCAGCACCTTGTTGAATCTATGCCACGAAGAATTGAGGCAGTTCTGAAGGCAAAAGGGGGTCCAACCCGTTACTAGCATGGGGTACCTAATAAAGTGGCCGGTGAGTGTATATATAAATGAACTATATTAATAACTTTTTTACAACAAAAATGAACCATCACTGATCTTACTTAAGCTGGACTGTGACGCTATTTTCTTCTGGAAACAAACTGTGTTGCATTATTTTCCTGTTATCTCTGTAAAGCTGCTTTGAAACAATCTGTATTGTAAAAAGCACTATATGAATAAAGGTGACTTGACTTGACTAAAACATGGTCAAATGTGTGTGTGTGTGTGTGTGTGTGTGTGTGTGTGTGTGTGTGTGTGTGTGTGTGTGTGTGTGTGTGTGTGTGTGTGTGTGTGTGTGTGTGTGTGTGTGTGTGTGTGTGTGTGTGTGTGTGTGTGTGTGTGTGTGTGTGTGTGTGCGTGTTTAGCTATAATCTAGAAACGTCATGTAAATTTCATAAGTAACACTTCACAATAAGGTACCATTTGTTAACATTAGTTAATGCATTAGCTTTCATGAACAAAATGATATATTTTACAGCGTTTATTAGTATTTGTAAAAACTATTTTTCATTGACGTTAGTTACTAAAATGCTTTAACTAAGCTTACGTTTTATAAATGTATTTGTAGTAAATTATTGAAATGAACATGAACTAAACATAAACGGTAACACTTTACTTGAAGGGGTGTGCATAAGACTGACATGACACCTTCATAATCATGACATGACACATATCATGAATATGAAGGAGGGTTTATGCATGTTTATGAAAACTGTCATTAAGTGTCAAAAGTCACTGACCGGTTATGATGTATTGGTTTATGTCAAGTTGTCATGAAAAAGACACTGACAGGTTATGATGTATTGGTTTATGTCAAGGTGTCATAACAAAGACATCTCAAACAATGTCATATTTGCATTAAAAATGCCATAATTGAGAGTGTATGACACTTAATGACAGTTGTCATAAACATGCATAAAACCTCCTTCACGTGACACGTCATGATTATGAAGGTGTCATGTCAGTCTTATGCACACCCCTTCAAGTAAAGTGTTACCCAATATAAGACCATGCCTGGTTCCAGAATCAAATCACAGAGGATGATTCTAATAAAGCGCAGGTGTAGCATGTAAACAGCCGTTTAAATAGTAGGCACCCTTACATGTTAACCCAGATAAATGTGCGCTATTATTCGGAGCATATTATTAGGAGCATATAGTGTTTGTGTAGAGTGTGGAAGCTGAAGTATAGCGCGCTTACTGCATGACATGGGCCCTGTCCCAAATGGCACCCTAAACACTCGAGGTCTTCCTAACGGTCTGCACTTTCGTGACGTAACGCCGCTTTGGGTAGAAGCCTGCTGTGGAGTTCGCTTCAGTGCAGGCTCAGCAAAAGTGCGCATCGAGGTGCACATATCGACCGAGCGCTCGTGAGCACCTTTCTGAAACCTAAAATGACAAATGGGACACATGGACTTAACGGACACGTGCACGCGGCAGCCATTGAAAGAGCATATGAAATGTGGCATTTGGGACAGGGCCATAGGGGCGCTGGTGCAATCACTTGCATTTTTTTCTGTAAACATTGAAAATAACTTACAATAATTCATTTTTGGTCATACAGATAAGAGTAATGCATCATTCGAAACTGTAAATTTATTTGTGTACACTCACAATAACAAACCATTTTTGTAAAATAAAGAAAACAAACAGGATAGGCTTTCTAACATCTCGATCTCCGTGAACTGGAGCGCAGCTTGAAAATAAATTGAAACCTAGTGTACACTTGCCTCACATTAATGAAAAATATAACTATAGGGAGCTTGAAATGTCTACTTTTAAACTAAACAATTTCAAATCGAAAAACAAATATTCTCTGATTATGTAATTAGTTTGAAACGTGCATATAGGCGCATCCACTTCCGCGGAGATGCAACTTAGCTGGTTAACGAATTAATAAACACCCAAGCTGGATATAATAAACTAATGAAAATAGACCCTAACAATCATGACATTTAAACATTTATTCTGGATTTGTCACATTGTTCTTATCACTTGATAATGTCCTCTCAGCCTTGTCGACAAACATACTGCTGTTCTCTACTAATGCAGCATCTAGTCAACAAATTGATTATTTTTAAATATGACAACGTGACCTGTAGTGTACATAAATCATAATTCACATCAGCATCTGATTTCGATTCGTTTCAAGCCAAAACACCACGAGCATTGATACGTTTTTATTTTTTATGTAATGACAGCGGAGCCTTTTCAGCCGCTCACGCAATGGACGCAACCGGGAGAAATTATCGTTGTGGATTATTACCGATAACGATAGTTCCAGAAATCAGCTATCGGTGCCCAACATGACATCATGACTTTGCGTAAAACATACACGCCACTTTCAAGTCAAGTGGCGTGTTATCTATACGCATTTTGAGCTATCCGCGTGTGTGTCCACGCCGAAATCTTTTGCGTGTATGTCTACGCCATTAAATGTCCGAGTGATTCCGCGTGTATGTGTACGCCGTTAAATGTCCGAGCGAAACGAAGCAAAATCTATATCTACATCTGTGGAGCGATATTTCTTTTCCTAGGATGGTAGGAGAAGACTCATAAATGGTATTAACCCCAGTGACGGGTAGGTTTAGGGACGGGGTTGGGGTAGGTCATATATTTATATATACATAATACAGTAATATAACGTTAAGTCAAAGGCGTTGATAAACACGCTGAAAAGCGATTATGCGTGTTGATAGCACGCCAAAAATGGAAATACGAATTGGCGTGTCATACATACGCCATTTCATGAGATCAGTCTGCGGTGCCAATGAATCGGCAAAACCAATAAATCGGTGGACCTCTAATCATAAGGCAGATATGTGTGTCACCTGCCACTTGTGTCCTCTGTTGTAGGTTCTGCTGCAGTGTTGCCAGAGGTTCTTTGTACTCTCCTGCCTTTCCTGTCAACACCTCATCCAGCTTCATTTTAACCTGGTGCAGACGTTCTTGGAAAAGCCTGAAATCGATGAAAAAGTAATCTATAGAGCTCCAGAATTTGGTTGTAGCCACAATGTTCTTCAAACAAAACAATTTGTTTGAACAATACAATACAGAATATGGATTTTTATTGGTAGGCTTCCTCTTAAGCCCATCCATCCCAGATGATGGCCCTGTTTCTTTTGGACTAAAACAAGAAATGCCACCTAGCCCCAACCTATAAGAAAGAAGTATTCTTACTTGTCTTTTAACTCCAGGAATTGTTTTTCTAGGTCAGACATTTCATCCAGGCACTGTGATCGTCTTCTCTCACAATCTTCATCATCCATTTCTGAAAGAGAGATCCAATCCAGGTCATTCTCTTTTCCTTTCGATTCCAGTCAGATTTTACTAAACTGCATTTTATATATCACTATATGTTCAATTTTGGCTTGCAGTTCAGGGATTTGACAATGAATTGTCATGCACAAATTAAAAGAACATTTTAAAAATGTATAACCCTCAGTTAATGGCCCTAAAAATAAGGTTTAATTTTCTTTATGCAAAATATAATTTCATTTTATGGTGAAATATCACTCTCCCAATGATATTATTTATCAGCAGCTGCAACAATACACTGAGAAAAGTATAAATCATTGAATCTGATATAAACAGACCTGAACTCTCTTCCTCTTCTTCCTCTTCCTCCTCTCCCTCACTGTCCTCCAGGTCGCTGTCCCGATCCTCTCCACTCTCCTCCATCGTCTCCTCTGCCTCTCCTCCATCTCTCTCTCGCTCCTCCTCCGCCTCACCGTTAGTTTGAGGAAGCTCAGAGTCGGCCTCCGTCTCCATCTCCTCCTCTGGCTCTCTGGAAGCGGGCTGAGCTGGCATGACTGCTTATAGCACTGTATTAAACGGTGTAATAACAACGGTAGGATCTCATGGAGTACAATCATATGGTGTCTGATGCAGTGAATAAACAACCCACACTAATTAATATAATATAAAATTACATAAATACATGTATTAAATGAATATAAATAAATAATATTTAATTATACTAAATAATAAAATAACACTGCAAATTTTCTCATCTACTCTCCCAATTTTCATTTTTATATTTCCTCATCAGAAAATGTTTATGATAACTTGCATAAGTGATTGACCCATAATTATAATTTATTTAATATATATATATAGTATGTATATTCAAATGTGAGTATACTGTGTATATATACAGTACCTGTCAAAAGTTTGGAAAGAAGTCTCTTATGCTCACCAAGGCTGCATTTATTTAATCAAAAATACAGAAAAATCAGTAATATTGTGGCATATTATTACAAATTTTAATTAATTATTTTCTATTTTAATACATTTAAAAATATATTTTTAGCATAATTACTGTCTTTATATATTAAAATATAATAAAATATATGTTTATACATCATCCAGTCTTCAGTGTCATATGATCCCTTCGAAATCATTCTGATTTGCTGCTCAAGAAACATGTATTATTATTATTATTATTTTCATTGTTGAAAACTGTTTTTGCTTATTAACATTTTTGTGGAAACAATGATATCAACATTTGTTATAAGATTAAAAAAGAGAGAAATTAATACTTTTATTCATCAGGGATGCATTAAATTGATCAAAAGTGACAATGAAGACATTTATAATCTTACAAGATATTTCTATTAAATAAATGCTTTAATAAATAAATTCAATAAATGCAAATAAATGCTGTTCGTTGAACTTTCTATTCAACAACGAATAAAAAAAATATATGTAGGCCTATCACTATTTCCATAAAAATGTTAAGCAGCAACTGATTTCAACATTGATAATAATAATAAGAAATGCTGCTACCTGAGCAGCAAATCAGCATCTGAGGGATCACGTGACACTGAAGACTGGAGTAATGATGCTGAAAATTTAGCTTTGCCATCACAGGAATAAATTGCATTTTAAAATATATTCAGAATATATTTTAGAAACAGAAAACAGTTATTTCAATTTGTAACAAATTATAGTTGTTTCCTGTATTTTATATTAAATAAACCCAGCCATAAGAGACTTCTTTCACAATCACAAACATAAAATTGTAATGTTTCCAAACAAATGTTTGATGTGCATGTCAAGACAAATGACCAAACTAAAGACGTCTAGAGGACACTGGCAGCTAAAAGCACTTACCCAGAGACGGCAGAAGATATTTAACACCCTATTAACCACTTTATGTTAAATTAGAAAGAGGAAACTTCTGACATAGTTCGTAGTGTGATGAATTATCACTCTTGAGTGGGATTTATGTGATTACGAGCGCGTTCACAGTCTCGACGTGTGCGTTATCATGTCCATCCTCTAAAGGCCGCACAGCACTGACTTTACATTACAAGCTCATTACTCATTCTCCACATCTATAGCCCAGATATTATCATCTGTGAGATACATTAATAGCTACAGTCTCGTGCTGCTCACATATATTTGTGGATTTAAGTTAGTTACAAAAACTCGTTTTCCAATTGAACAACTCCGCAGTTCATTCAGAGACATGAAGTGTCCGGTTTAACGCGGTACAGAGATGTTAATGCACGAGAGTGAAATATTAAACGCCTATTATGTTATCAGCCTATTAAACGTCTCAATTACAATGTAGTAATTGATCATCTTACTTCGTAACGTTGTATTGGATCTCTTGATCGCTCCATGAATGTTCTCCGCTAATGAACCGATGCAAGACACGGGATAGCAATACACAACGATCTTACAAACAAACTCTAAGTGCATAAACCACAGCAAAACAGCTTACCTTCTTGTCGATTATTGTTTAAGTCATGAAAAATATTACATATTGTCGAGATAATTTGCATATCAGGGCAAGTTGACATCGGACAAGTCTACTTCCTCAGCGTTTAGACGTTTGTAACACACTACCGCTTTGAGGCGCTAGCCAATCAATGCAAACCTCGCTACTTCTAAGAACCAATAGAAGCTCGGAGTCGAAGAATCGATGTCTCGTCTATTTGAGTACGGTGATCAAACAGACCAATGGCACTTCGAGCTGCTTAACTTTCTATCAAATGACAAGTTTCTCTAAAAGACTTGCTTGAAATATAGTGCATGAGCAGAAGAGACACATTTTTTACTACAATGCTTATTCGTGAAACAGGCACACATACACACACAAAATGTTATTAACCATATTTTTATTAAAGTTGCATAAAAGTGTAACAAAATTGGGCAAAAAACAACAGTTTAGTATTGCTACAAGATACTTTTTTTCTCAAAAGGTATGACCTTGATCACAACAGCTTACATTTTTGCTAATTCAAATAATTGAGTCCAGTTGATTCTTTCAGTTCGCTGTGGCTGGACACGGAAAAGAGAAATGAACAGCACTACGAGGTCCACATAATGATAAAAAAACGATGATTTCATTTTATGTTAATAGATGTTAATGCTTCTAAAAAATGCTCTTTACGTAGTTAACTTCCTTTCCTAGAAAACAGAATCACTGAAAGTACAAGAACCTTTTTATCCTAAAACTTCAAAAAGATTTTCACTTTTGCATTTTTTTTTTTCATGTATATTCCTCAAACATGATTAAATTCATTTGGTTGTCATAACATAAATTTAACCTAAGGCAACATCTGAAAGTAGGAAGAGTGACTCGTGTAAAATGAAATGCTGAGGAGCAAGCGAAAAAAAGAAAAAGAAAATGAAGAAAAACAATAAGTGGGCAAAAGGAGGGAGAAAACAGTTGAGTCTTGAACAGTTGCCATTGTACCTGACTTTATGTGCTACACAAATGAGTGGGATGGGATGTGAAGGAGCTTCAGTGTATGATTAATATGTGTTAGTATGTGATGGGAAAAGCTCTCCTAAAACACCTGCTGGAAATGTTGGGACTGGTGGATTTCAAGAGCACTAAGTGAGACTATTAGCCCTCTTATTATAATATTTGATTGGCTGAGACAAAAAGAGCAGATGGCTTCCTGGGAGAGATGATTTAGGAGAGTCATGTGAGAGGATTCATTCTAAACGTACGCTTGGCAGTGACCATGATACACTGCAGCTTGACTAGCCTGCTCTCATCCAATCGGTTTCTGGAAGAGTCAGTGTGCACATCTGTGGATGTGTGTGAGGCCCAAGAGCCACAGCTGTGGTTGTGTGTGGTCATTTCTCCTGATTCCCGAGGGTGGTGATGCCCATGAATTTCAGTGTGTGTGTGTGTGTGTGTGTGTGTGGCATGTGTAAGACAGAAAAAAAATAAAAGCCCCATATTTTCCTACACATAGTTCCCTCCCCTGTTAATACCACAAATCCAAAATAACTCCCTCGCTTTATAACAGCTTTAATCACTCTCTTTATTAGTTTTTCCTTAATTAAAAATGTTCCTGCACTTATTCAAGAAAGAGGAGGATCAAAAAAATAGAGAGAGAAAAATCCACAAGGCCGCTTCTGTTTGATCTCCTTTGACGTCATTTTAAACCAAGGATCGTCACAGTTTCACAAAGGGTTTTAGTGCATGTGTTCATTGTGAGAGCAGGACGCTTTGAAACCATATTAAAAAACTAAATTCTAACAAAAATCCAAGTTTATAAAATAAAACCATTCTGTTCATAAAGACTAATGAAAAAAAACAACCATGAAAATATGTTTAATAACATTTCAAACCAATGAAATCTTGCCCCCTTTACAAAAAAAGTTGAAATAGAATAAAATAATACAAATAAAATCAACAAAATAAGAAAAATAAGCCCTGCTTATAAGGATCTGATTGAATATCCCATAACTTTGCCTCCACCTCCTCCCCAACGGATGCAAAGGAGCAACGGGACTGGATGAGCACCTGCTCAGGGGCGAATAGTCACACCCCTAAAATTGGAAAAGGAGGGATGGGATTGGTTTAGGAGTGGTGGAGTTGGGAGGAGCTTCACTTCTTCTGAGGAGTACTGAGCTTCTGCATGCCACGGATCTTGTCCAGCAATTCAGCTACAAACACCTACAAAAGGAGCACATTTTTTTAACAAATTTAGCAGAGTTGGGTAGTTGATTATGATTCTGCAGATTTCCCCAAATTTGAACAGCCATAAGTCCTAGAACTGTACACATTTGTTTATCCCCATTATAAATAGAATTCATGTTCGAATTAGTAAAATATTTGTCTCAATTCTGCTTGCAGCTGCCGATGTGTATAGTGCTCTCAGCTCTGTACATATTACCATATTCATACCCATTTCTCATAATTCCACCATCTGTTCACAGAATTAGGATATAAAAAAGATTCGTAAAAAAAAATCTGTTATTTCAGTTTCATTCTGATACTGTTATAGTTTTCATTCATATTTTGAGTTAGTTGTTATCTTTATATTTTCTGCTTTTATTTTAATTTTAGTAAAAGTCATATATATACTTTAAACAAATGTCTATGTAGGTTTTATTCAGTTTCAGTTATTTTAGTACATCAAGTTACACTAAAGAAAATGAGAAATGTTGCCGTGGCAAACTTATTTTATTTCAGTTAATTTTTATTTTATTTAAAAGGTAGTACAATAGTTTTAGCTTTCATTTCAGTTAACTATAATAACCCTGCGTGCTCTTAGATACGAGACAATTTACTCACCTCAGTAGGTTTATAACAGTCTACCAGCAGGTCCTGTTGGGCAATAAGAGAAAGAAATGTCATACAAAATGTAAAGCCTGTAAAAAATTGAAGATAAAATCGGACATTTTTGAGACGGATACCTTGACTCGTGCAGCACGGTCTACGTCGTTCTCCATGTCCAACAGCTCATCCACGTCAATCTCCAGCTCTGGGATCGCCTCTTCCTGTGACAGATATAAGCATATGCATCATGAAGCAGAAGGAAATGATCTGTTTGGATCAAAGATATGTCTATATTCAAATACCCCCAAGAAGTACCAGCTAATTGGAAATTAGTTACACAACTATACATTCCCTATAGCTCCAGGAAATGATGCAGTATTCCCAGAGGGCTAAGAAACACAGTGGGGAAAGAGTACCAAGGCAGAGACAATGGAAACAGTGACGCTGGTTGCACAGATGACTCTGGAATGTTTGTGTATGTAAGTGAGTCTCAGACTGGAGATCTGTCTTTAAGGTAGTTATACACAAGTAGCAGTTTATCTTTACGTCTCCACCAGGGCTGATGAAGGTCGGTGTAATACTGCCTCTTCACCACTAGAGGTATCTCTTGTGTCACACAAACAGTTAAAGGAATAGTTCACCCAAAAATAAAAAAAATCTGACATCATTTACGTAATACTCACCCTCAAGTTGTTCCAAACCTGTATGAATTTCTTTCTTCTGAGTTTGTTTGTCTTCTGAAGATATTTTGAAGAATGTAGGTAACCAAATGGCTTCTGGTCCCCATTGACTTCCATACTATGGAAGTCAATGGGCCTCATCAACTGTTTGGTTACCTACATGTCTTCTTTTGTGTTCAGCAGAAGAAAGAGACTCATGCAGGTTTGTAACAACTTGAGGGAGAGTAATTGATGAAAGAATTTTCATTTTTGGGTGAACATAATACAAAATAAAGTTCTCCACGGTAGATCAGCACAGAGAGAAGACACTTTTAAGGTAGTTTCTCAGTTTGATTCAAGTACGTTTCCAGTTGCTTCACCCTTATCTTAGCCACTTTAGTGGAATTTATTCATCTATTTAGAGCAATGATGGTTGTGTTACTCACTGATGTGTATTGAGATCAGTGTCTACTTGCCCTGGAGTAAAAATGTCTAGCTAGTGTAATTATACATTTAAGTACGGAGTAGTATTAGTTACATGTACTTATTATAGGGTTAGGCTTGCTTTAGGGTTAGCTGCATGTAAGTATGCATAATTTATAGTTATTTATAGTAACTACATGTAACTTGTGTAACAAGGACACTGTAAAATAAAGTGTTACCCTATTTTCGATATCAACATGCCATTGCATGCTGTGTATTTACATATAGTCTGATTTCACTATTAAAGCCCGTCCACCGTCCATCTCAAATATGTCTATTGTTTGATGATGAGAAAGACATTAATTGACAGTTTCATATGTTAAAGATGTGATGATTCATCAAGGCTGGCAAAATCCAACATCATCCAACCATGACTAAGACTGAAAGAGAAGTTGAAGTTGGGACCAAATGTGATTTTTCGCAGATTCAGATAAGCATGTTTGTTTTGAGAAATACTGCAGTGTTTGGCTATTTTTATCAGTCCAGTTCACATATTTGGCCTTGGGTTGTTGGAAAGGCGCTGGCCATGAAACAGATCTGTCTGCTTTTCTTTCCATACTGTTAGTCTGTCTTCAGACACCTTTGGCTTTCAACAAGTTCCCTAATAACTCGAATTCAAATCAAAACCTTGATTCAAATTCAAACGCTCTTTATATCCCTATGTTTTAGTTTTAGCTCTGTTTTTAAGAGTAAAAATCCAACAGTGCCAGTGGAGACTCCAAACCTCAATTATACGCTGCAGTATTTTTCCCCGTCTCGTCCCTTTAATCTGCCAATTTGGTTTCTTTCTATAAAGTTGTCTCTTTCAGTAAAGACTAGTGAATACGTCTCTCTCCCCGCAAGCTATAAATGGTTTGCACAAGACTCGCAAACCCCCCTCTCTCTCTCTCTCACACACACGTTTCCATTCTCCCTGTTCTGCAAACATTTGCTCCTTCAGAGCCTTTCCAAAACACACTTCATCTTCCACTTCCAGACACACACATACACACGTGTCTTATGAACACGCATAAGCTCATTGTGGTTCTGGAGCAGTGACTCATATGGCATATTAAAATATCGTCTGTCTAGAGAAACAAGCACTGAAGCGAGGAACATTAAAACTGCCCATTGCTTCACAATGGAAAATCAAAAGGCACATGCAAGAACGGGTCTATTTCTAGAGCCGATCCTTTTTTTTATTTAAATCTCTCTCGTTTTCGATGCTACTATCAGTACTTCGTCTTTCGTCTTCGTCTTACTTCTCTCTTCCTCCCCCTCGGTTTAAGCAGCCCAGACCAGCTGTCATTGCACCTGCCTGACTAAACCCCTTGCCCAAATCTCTCTCTCACCAACACAAGCACACACACTAGCTCATTCACACACACTGATATTGCCATGGCACCGTCACATGTCAATGGAAGCTGTAATTGCTCTGTTGAATTAACAAACCTTCAATTTGTGTCTATGACCGAGTAGTGCACATATAACTAAAGGGTGCATGAGTACACAGGAGAGAATGAGCTGTAAAAAACACTTTAGTTGGCTGCTAGGGACTGGAATATGTGTGTGTGTGTGTGTGTGTGTGTGTGTGTGTGTGTGTGTGTGTGTGTGTGTGTGTGTGTGTGTGTGTGTGTGTGTCTGTCTGTGTGGACACAAGACAAAGAATGTAAGGCACAACATGTGGGCACCATGTGCTACTACTAATCACTCAGAGACAAGGAAAAAGATAAAAAGGGCTACATAAAGCCAAGCAAAAGACAGGAAATACAAATATAACCAAAAAGCCTCTCACAATCACCTAGAGGTTCATTAAATCCACAGAGCTGGTCATTCACACCAAGTTTAATAACCAATTAATGGTCATTTAGCTGGTGCTTTTATCAAAAGCGACTTACAGTAGACTTATTAGAAGCACAGACACCTGGGAAAAAGCGTTAATACCTTGCTAGAGATGTTGTTTTATGTCCAATACAGATTATTTTTTAATGTTTATGAGTCCGATAACATTTAGCCATTTAGCAAATTAGCGGAGATACTTCTATCCAAAGCCACATTTGAAGAACATCACAAGCAATAATAAGTGCCTATGATAGTCATCAACAATAGTCAAGAGTAAGCTAGAGTAGTACAGAAAATATAGCAGAAGTTAAAATAGAGAACAAGGAGATTATATATGATTTATTTATAGGAAGTGACTTTGATTGTGGTATACATTTAAAGTCTGTGAAAGAAGTCTTCTGCTACTAATTATTATGATTGTTATTAAAGGTTACAATAATAATAATTATGCCATTGTATACTATTTATATTGCAAATGTATGCGTTTTTTAATGCTTTATTTATGTGTAATTGTTAAGCTAAATATTTCCTCCTTGTGAATGAATAGCTGTTGTGTAAAAAATATTCACCAATTCAAACACTAATTTAAATAAAGTTAACTGTTTAACTTGTGACAACTGTCATCTGCCAGCCCAGATCCTAAAAATGTATACTCACAACAGCCTGCAAACTGCACTTGATAAAATATTGTTGTATGTTCAGATATGCAATTTAAATGCATAATATTCTACTTGTCATGCACACTTGTTGTGAAGGAGCTCCCAGTTGTTCTTTCAATCCTAAATCAAACAGTGCTGTCAGTAACAAACACAAACAGGAATGCAATGTTATTCTAACTAGGCTACTTAATGAAGCATGGGATCAAACAGTGACCACAGCCACATTTACACACCATCATCCAAAAGATTGGGGTAGTAAGAATTTATTTTTTAATTAATACATCTATTCAGAAAGGATGCTTTAAAATTATGAAAAAACTTTCAGCGGTATCTTTGTTTCCAGCCAATCAGAATGGAACTGCCGATTTCAGGCATCTCTTGTAATATTCATCAGACAGTCAGTGGACGGACAACGTCTGAGACTGAGACTAAGTGCTTTGTGTCCATGTGAGTCAATGTGTTGGTCAATGTGCAGGTGTGTTGAGTTGCTTTAGTCACAGAGAATATGTCTACCCAGGATTTATGGATGACTGCATTCATGTCTGGATATGTGTGTGTGTGTAACCTTTATAATCCAGCATGTGTATGAGCATCTACAGCACTACAGGTCTCTTGCAGTTATGGTGAATCTGATGTGACATTATGAGAGCAGGGTGTTTCAGACTTGGCGCTATTTTGACCTACATTACAAAGCTGTCTTCATCACCAAGAATGAGGATGGTGGCAATATGGACTCACTGGCAGGGCAATTGAGGTGCCAGACATTACTTGAACTTAACCAAAAGACTTTCAATTCCTACGCGACCTTGTCCAAAACAATAACATATTTCCAAAGCATATGATGTTGTATCCTCAGTATTCTCAATATCCTCAGTGTGAGTGAGTGATGTTCAAGTTAAATCAGCCAATATTTCAGGTTCAATACAAGCTAAGCTCTATCAATGGAAAAAAATTAAATGGAAAAATATATGGAAAAACTTCACAGCTGAAGCACTAACAAAGGAAGTACACAAGACCAGTGTTCCAGAGGGTTTAAAAGCCAAAATGTGAAGGGTGTATTTGTGTTAAATCGCTATTTGGTCTGAAGAGCAAATGGATGAACTGTGGAATTGTGGGGTTTTTAAATGGATGAACTTCTAGTTATGAGTTTCCAATGTAACTTCCATGGTATTTTCACCATGTAAACAGTGCTTTACAGATAGTTACGTCACAAGCTGTTATGGTATATCATTGAATGTCTAGCACAAAAGTTACCTGGTTACATCATCATCATGATAGTGAAGTTAAAGGATTGGATAGAACTTCACATAGACAAGGTCAGTAAACGATTCATATCATATTAAGGCCCGTTTACACCAAGAACAATAAATATAATAGTGCCCATGGAATTTAACGCTCTGTTTATTAAGAGCACTGCAGTTGTTTGCCACTTTGGGTTAGTTCCCCCAAAAAATGTTACTCACCCTCATGTTGTTCCAAACTTGTATGAACTTCTTTCCTCTGCTAAACACAAAAGAAGATATTTTGAAGAATATGGGCAACCCAGCAGACCAAAGACCCCATTGACTTCAATAGTAAAAAATAAATACTATGGAAGTC